ATACGATACGCAAACGAAATGTACAAATTGTACGACAAACAGGGATTTGAAACTGGACAATGTCATGTTGGATTCAGACGGGCATGTTAAACTGGCGGATTGTGGGATGTGCAAAGACGGAATGTTCCCTGGCAAGACCACCCACACCTTTTGTGGCACTCCCGACTACATCGCCCCCGAAGTTATTATTATTATTATTGATATTATTATTATTGATATTATTATTATTATTGTTGTTGTTGTTTGTTGTTGTTGTTTTAACCATTGGGTCACGTGATACGCAGATTTTGTTACGTCAACATTACAACAAGTCAGTTGATTGGTGGGCTTACGGAGTTCTATTGTATGAGCTACTTGTTGGACAGGTTATTATTATTGTTGTTGTTGATGGTGTTTTTGTTGCTGATGTTGTTGTCGATGTTGTTGTGGATGTTGATGTTGTTGTTGTTGTGGATGTTGATGATGTTGTTGTTGCTGATGTTGTTGTTGATGTTGATGCTGTTGATATTGTTATTGTTGTTGTTGTTGATAAAGTTAATGTTGTTGTTGTTGTTGATGTTAATGTTGTTGTTGAAAACAAAGATGGTGATTTCAGAATAAAGAATAATTATAGGACGTGGATGATGATGAAATGATGAAACGATTGTAATGCTGATGACGACTCGACGATAATGATACTGGTTATAAAGTACTGATAATGATGATGATGACCATAAAGTACTGATAATGATAATGATGATGACCATAAAGTACTGATAATGATGATGACCATAAAGTACTGATAATGATGATGATGACCATAAAGTACTGATAATGATGACCATGATGATGATGACGACGACGACGACGATGATGATATTATTATCAGCCACCATTTGACGGCGATGATGAAGAGGACTTGTTCGTGAATATAAAGGAGAAGAGTGTCACATTTCCAAAGTACATGTCTAAGGAGGCAGTCTCCATTTGCAGAGGAGTATGGATGACATGTTTCTGTTTATTCTTTATTCTTTGTTTTTATATTTTGTTTATTCTTTGTTTTTATATTTTGTTTATTCTTTGTTTTTTTTTCTTTGCAATACTCTTTCTCTATCTCTCTTCTCTTTCTCTCTCTCTCTCTCTCTCTCTCTCTCTCTACCAATACACAATCACACATATACTCACTTTCTCTCTCACACGCACACACACAACACACAGTTTCTCAAACACACATACACACACAGTTACTGACAAAGTCAACGAAACATAGATTGGGTAGCGGTCCAGACGAGGAGAAAGAAATAAAAGAGCACATATTCTTCAGGAGGATCGATTGGGAGAAGATTATCAACAAATCCATGCAACCGCCATTCAAACCAAAAATCGTTAGAGACATTTTTCTCATTTCTTCTTAATTTTTACTTTTGTTAACAAACATCACGAACAAACAAACGAACGAACGAAACGAAACAACAACAGACAAACAAACCCACAAACAAACCCAACACAGAAGAGTGAATGCGACGTTAGCAACTTCGACAAAGAGTTCACTAACGAACCACTGAACACGACACCTACCGATAAACTCCTCCTCATGAACCTTGACCAAAGCACTTTTGCTGGCTTCTCTTACGTCAATCCAGAATTCATTGTCACTGTTTAAATGCTATTTAGTGTTTAATACTATGTGACTATCAGTTAAGGTCGACGGCGCCAGTCTCACAGTTATCGAGTTCGAACGCAGAGTTTGTTCAGGATGACCGATTGTTCATCGTATGCCAAAAATGCGTTCATGCTGTGTGTGTGTGTGTGTGTGTAGATTTAGATATCTAGTAAATAAGTGTGTGTGTGCATGCGTTTTGTGTGCGTGCGTGTGCGTGTGGATTTAGATATTTTCAAGAGTAAATAGATACGAAAAAATGTTTGAAAAATTAATCATGGTATTGTGTAAATTATTTCTCTTGGCTCATGTGAATGTGTTTGTTCGTGTTTTTTTACCGTAGTTTTAAGAACGCTTAAAGTAATTCTAACACTCGTCTTTTAGAATTAAATTAAATTTAGAATTAAATTAAATTTAATTAAATTGCTGTTGATTAAATATGTGATTTATAAATGTTATACGACACGCACGTACACACATTCACACACGCGCACACATATTCACACACACACACATACAAACACGTACACTTACACAAACAGACACACACACACGGATATATTTTTTTATTTGTTCATTTCAGAATTGTCATTGGAGATATATAAACCTATGTATACATATTTTTATGGTTAAATTAAAATGATTTAAAAAAAATAATAAAATTAATAAAAACAATTAATAATAATGTTCGCTATTGATGTTGTTGATATTGGCATTTACTAATAATATTAATAATAACTATTTTTAATAATACCAATCTAATACTTATTGTTATTATTGTTATTGTTGTTATTGTACTCTTTCATCTATATGATTGATTGACTAATTAATTGATTGATTAATTGATTGATTAATTAATTGATTAATTGATTAATTGATTGATTAATTGATTGATTGATTGATCGATTGATAAACGTCTAGTCAATTTTAACGTATTATATAAAAAAAATTTTTTACTCAGAGCTATTATTTATCTATTTATTGATATATATTTGTTTATCTATTTATTCATTTAAATATTAATTAATCATTTAATTTAATTATAGTCAAAACGAAAACAATTTATAAGTAATCAAAACGTAAAAATAATGACTAAAGCGCCAAATAGATTATATAAATACACACATAAAAAATTAAATAAAAGAAACTAATTAAAGTAATTAGTTAAAAAACTAATTAAGCAGCACTAACTAAAGTAATTAATTAATTGATTGATAAATTAACAATTTGGCTAGTAGCAAAATTATTAACGCAAGTCAATTTCCCCGCCAACAGTAATTTCTAATGTATCATTCTACTAAATACTAGCACAGCGAATGTATGAATATATGTGTGAATGAATGGATGAACAGATGAACGAATGGATGCATGAATTGATGAATGAATGGATGAATGATAGCGCGAACAAACAAATGAACGAACGAACGAATAATCAAATAAAAGAATAAACAAACGTTAGAAACAGTTGAAAATGAGATAAAAATCAATATTATTAATGTAAGACCTTTGCAGATGAAGAAACAACAAAACAACAATACATGCGTCATACAAGATTTCTACCGTGCAAATTAAATAATACAAGATGTTTGTATCATACAAACACTGTACCATACAAACACTGTACTATACAATGCGTTGTATCAAACAATATATATTTGTATCAAACGAGATACTGTATCTGATGATAGCCTTTCGAGATTTTCGACGCATCTTTATACCAGTTAGATATATGTTATATTAATTAATTAATTAATTAATTAATTAATTATTAAGTCGAAACAATGTAAAAATCTAGTTAAAAACTAATAACAATAATAATAATTTATAATTATCATTATTTAAATAAATATTTATACATCTAACTCTAGTTGAGAGTAAATTTTAAAACGCATGTAAAAAAAAAATCGGGCAAAATAAACGAAAAATCTTCTCGTTAGCTGAATAAATTAGATTAATCAATTAAATATAATTAACCCAATTAATTAATTAACCCAATTAAATGAATACTTGAAGCACCTCTGCTAATTATCTGGTGAATGAAAATCTAAATTTTTCTTATGGATGAGAATAATGATGTTGATGATGAATAATGACGGTGATAGTAGTGATTATGGAGATGATGACGATGATGATAAGCTAACATAGCCGAATAACTAAAAGATGTAATGTAGATGATAGTAAAGATTTGACGTGATGCTAAAACTTGATAAGGTGTTGATGAAGACTTTCATAAAGGCTAATATTGCAGTTATTAATCCTTGATGCTGTTGAAGTAACTGAAGCAGAAGTTGTAGTAGTAGTGGTAGTAGTAGTTGTAGTAGTAGTGGTAGTAGTAGTAGTTGTAGTAGTGGCGGTAGTGGTAGTAGTAGTTTTTTCTTTCACTGGACCATCATGAAATGAACTTTGCTTTAAAACGCTCCAAATGATTGGAGATGTTGAATAGAGAACTCCTGTTTTTTTGGCAAACGCAAGATTAATTTTTTTAATTTTAAAAACTTCTCAAACAAATAAATGGATAAATAACTTGAATAGAATCAAATAAACCAATAAATAATGATTTAATTGATGTATATTTCCAAGAAACTGCCAACTTATTCGAGAGTGATGTAGCCCTGAGTTGGTCCATAACTTCACAGTCACGCTTGCATTCTTGCAGATGTTTCGCTAGCTCCTCTTGGTACGCACTCACCATTCTCTCTATCTCTTTTCTCAACGTATCCAGTTCACTGTGCAATTTTAAACATCTTATTGTTTTAACTCTTAAAGTAAAACATTAAAAACCAGAAAAAGAACAAACAAACAAGCGAACAAACAAACAAACAACCAGACAGGCAAACACCTCAAACCCAAC